AGGAGGAGGAGGAAAGGAGAATAAGGAGGAGGAGGAGGAGGAGGAGGGGGAGGCGGAAGAAGGGGAGGAGGAAGGGGAGGACGAGGAGGAGGAGGAGGAGGAGGAGGAGGAGGAGGAGGAGGAGGAGGAGGAGGAAGAAGAGGAGGATAAAGAGGAGGAGGAGGATGAAGAAGGGGAGGAGGGGAGGGAGGGGTAGGAGGAGGAGGAAGAAGAGGAGGAAGAAGAGGAGGAGGAGGAGGAGAAGGGAACTCGCCGTGGCCCTCGCTCGCCGCCGGTCCCTGGCTGGGGCTGGTCCGGGCCCTGGAATGGTCCACGCCACTCCCTGCCCTCGACCTTAGGAGGGTGCGTGCACCAAGCCGTGGCCCAGGGATTCGGGAAGGGCCAGGCGCCAAGGCCAGAGGCTAACAGCGACGTTGCATGACGGCGATGTTGTGAACCAAATGATCGGAAAGCACGAGCCACACTTTCCTACACCTCCAATCCTCGCCACCGCTCGGACGTCCATTCCCTGCTTTTTTCGGTTACGTGCGTGGTTCTTTCGCCAAATGATCAAGGATGCTCCTCGATGGTCCTCGCCGAAGGAAAAATGCACACGTCCGAGCGATGCCAAGAATCTGCGAATGCATCGAGCGATCACGACACAGCGGGTGGGAGGAAAGCGCGAGCCACGCGCTCCCGCATGACCGACACCTGCATCGCCGCCGCCGGCAGCGCCGCTACCACATCACATCTCTGGCCATCGCTCGGGCGTCCATTCCCTGCGCTTTTTCGGCTTCGCGAGTGGCTTTTTTTCACAGGATGATCCAGGCTGCTCCTTAAGAATCCCCGCCGAGATCGATGCGCACGTCCGAGCGATCCCAATGCAAGAACTGCGGAGGAGGAGAAGGAGAAGGATGGAGAGGAGGAGGAGGAAGAGGGGGGGAGGAGGAGGAGGAGGACGGAGAATACCGAGGAGGAGGAGGAGGAGGAGGAGGAGGAGGAGGAGGAGACGGAGAATACGAGGAGGAGGAGGAGGAGGAGGAGGAGGAGGAGGAGGAGGAGGAGAACACCGAGCGATACCAAGAGCGGCGGAAGCTTGCCGCCAGGGTGGCGTGCCCCCCGTGAGGTGTCGCAGCGGCCAAGGTTCCGGCCGCGGCGGGCGCCGCGGGGCAGCCGCCGGGCGCCCCGAGGTGGGGGCCTCCCGCGGCCTCTCCTCGCCGGGGCGGTGCGTCTGCTCGAAGGGGGCCGGCCCTCCTCCTCCTCCTCCTCCTCCTCCTCCTCCTCCCCCCCTGGCCTCGCCGTCGTCCTCCTCGTTCCCTTTCTCCTCCTCCTCCTCCTCCTCCTCCTCCTCCTCGCCAGGGTGGTGCGCCTGGGACGCACAAGTGAAGAGACACGCATAAAAGGACTCCCCATATGTTCAAATATTTTCGTTGGCTGCTGTCTCCCCCCCCCCCCACTTTCTTGGTGCTTGTCCTCCCCCCCACGCATCCCATACTTTCCTGTATGTTCTTGGGGGATCGACGGTTCTTTGTCGCTGTGTGTTTCTTTCCCTCCTGAAAGATGGGTGATACCTTTGGAGGGTACCACCACGGGGGGGTGCCTCCCACAGGGGGAGGATGATCCCAGATTTCGGTCTTGGTACTATTTCGGTCACCTTGGGAGCCAGAACATTACCACCATCACCGAGATCGGGATCTTCTTCCCTCGGTGGAGGAACACCGCCGATATTGGTGTTGGTGTCCACCTCGAGGCCTGCGATACCTGGCCCAACCTGGCGTATCAGCGGGTGGCCCAAGGGGGGGGTAGCGACGACGTCGTCTACGCCGTCAACGGTCTCCTCGCCGGGCCTCTGGCTGCAAGCGCGGACCGCACGCGAGGCAGCCAACCCTGGGGTCTCGCAACTCGTATGGTCCGCAAGAACGCACTGCTTACCACATCTCCGCCCCATGAAGACCACACGTGGACTAAACAGGCTCAGCGCAAACCGGGCCCTCAACCAATTAGAGGAAAAACGGTTCCGTTTTGTTTGGGCACTTCCCAAACCTGGCTCCGCCAATCTGAAGGGGCCCCGGGACACACACATAAATAGACACGAATAACATGATCCCCAAACATTTTCCCATAGTGTCGGGGCTACCGTCTTCCCCCCCCGCATCCCATCTTTTCCCATCCTCTCTGGGGAATCGACGATTCAATGTGTCTGTGTGCTTTTTTCCCTCCCTGACAGTCTATGAGGCACCCTGCGCCAGAGGCGCCCCGTCTGCGCGGGCCCTCGCTGCGCGACGGCGGCCCGGGCGAGAGGCCAGCCCAGCGGCCCTGGCCGGTGGCTCGTCGGCCCTGCTCCGCCAGGGTTGAAAGGGGCCCCAGGACACGCAAATAAATACACACAAATAATAAGATTCCCCCTATTTTCCCATATGTTTTGGGTTTCTGTCTTCCCTCCCACTTCCCATATTTTCCCATCTTTTCTGGGGGATCGAAGATTAATTGTGTCTGTGTGCTTTTTCCCCTCCTGAGAGAGGCCAGCCCAACGGCCCTGGTCGGTGGCTCGTCGGCCCGGCCCCGCCAGACTCTGAGGCTGGCTCTGCGGGATCCTGCAGGACGCAGCGCTCTTAGCCGAGCGCCCCGCCTGCGCGGACCCTGGTTCGCCCTTCGACCCGAGAGAGCAAGGCCAGCCCAGCGGCCCTGGCCGCGACGCGCAGAGCGCGGTCCTCTTCGCGCCCCTGGGGGTGGTCATGAGGCATCCCATCCGTAGGACGAGCGTCCGCGGGAACCACTGGAATGGACAGGCGCGTTCCACTACTCGCAAACCAACTACTCTCAAATTGCCTGGATCCGCCGCGGGGGATTTACGATATCCGCCGGCCCCCTTGTGGGGCCACCAGGCTGTAGGACCGTGATTCGCAGTTTCCTGTGCCAGTTGTAGCTTGTAGTTTCCAGTGTTACAGTTCTGCTTCTTGCTGGTTACTGTAACTGTTTGATTGACCGCGCGAGGGGGGGGGAGGCCCAAACGGGATTTTTAGCACCCCCTGGGCGCGTTGTCTGAATTGCTGGGGGGGCTCGAAATCGACACCCCTCACGCAGATCCGCGGGGTCAGGGTTCAAAAACACAGGGGATTTGCCACATTTCTGAAATTCGGTGCCACCCCTCACGCAGATCCGCGGGGTCAGGGTCCAAAAACACAGGGGATTTGCCACATTTCTGAAATTCGGTGCCACCCCTCACGCAGATCCGCGGGGTCAGGGTCCAAAAACACTGGGGATTTGCCACATTTCTGAAATTCGGTGCCACCCCTCACGCAGATCCGCGGGGTCAGGGTCCAAAAACACATGGGATTTGCCACATTTCTGAAATTCGGTGCCACCCCTCACGCAGATCCGCGGGGTCAGGGTCCAAAAACACATGGGATTTGCCACATTTCTGAAATTCGGTGCCACCCCTCACGCAGATCCGCGGGGTCAGGGTCCAAAAACACATGGGATTTGCCACATTTCTGAAATTCGGTGCCACCCCTCACGCAGATCCGCGGGGTCAGGGTCCAAAAACACATGGGATTTGCCACATTTCTGAAATTCGGTGCCACCCCTCACGCAGATCCGCGGGGTCAGGGTCCAAAAACACAGGGATTTGCCACATTTCTGAAATTCGGTGCCACCCCTCACGCAGATCCGCGGGGTCAGGGTCCAAAAACACAAGGGATTTGCCACATTTCTGAAATTCGGTGCCACCCCTCACGCAGATCCGCGGGGTCAGGGTCCAAAAACACAGGGGATTTGCCACATTTCTGAAATTCGGTGCCACCCCTCACGCAGATCCGCGGGGTCAGGGTCCAAAAACACATGGGATTTGCCACATTTCTGAAATTCGGTGCCACCCCTCACGCAGATCCGCGGGGTCAGGGTCCAAAAACACAGGGGATTTGCCACATTTCTGAAATTCGGTGCCACCCCTCACGCAGATCCGCGGGGTCAGGGTCCAAAAACACAGGGGATTTGCCACATTTCTGAAATTCGGTGCCACCCCTCACGCACATCCATCGCAAGGCGTGGTAACCCAAACTGCGAGTACTCCCTCGGCCCTTTAATCCCAAGGTGTGGTAACCAAGCTCGTAAACCATACACGTCTTACCAATCGCCCTGTGTGGTAACCCCTCTTGTGATCAGTTGGTTTTGCCGATTGCGAATCGGCCTCGCATGAAGTTCCGATACTGCTGCACGACAGCGCCAAAGCCTCATGACTTAGCTCTTCCATGGCCCATTCTCCGAGAGAGGGGGCCGGCGGCAGGGGGCGAAGCCCTTACGGATATTACATCGAGGAATACATTTTTTCGGACGTTTGCGAATAGGCACTTTGTGAATAGTGGAACGCGCTCGGCGATGGAAGCGGGCGGGGCTTACCCGGTAGTCGGTGCGCATAATGATGCCGGCGTACGCGATCTTGTGCCTGACACCCGCAGGAGGCCACCAACCATGATTCTTGCCAGCGCAACTCTGGGATGCGGAGGAGGACCACTGAGGGGAAGGACAGTGCGGCGAAGTCCGGCAAGAGGACGCTAACAATACGCTTGTACCGAGCGTGGCCATGCCAATCCTGGGAGTCAGGATCGGTGTGGGTGTATACCCATCGGTCAGAAGAAGTTGGTAGAAACATCAGAAAGAACGCGTTTCACGGGCGCTTGCCTGGGGAACATTCGGCGGCGCGTTTCGAACCGGGGGGTGGCCCACCCCCAAAACTCGGCGCCGTCGATTAAAACCAGGGGGGCTCCCCTCCCCCCCAACCCCCCCCTCCCGACCCCCCCCCCTCCCTCCTCCCAAGGGGGGGGGGGTTCACCCCGCCCCCCCGCCTCGGCGCCGGCGCAAACGCTGGCGGCCGCCAGCAGCGCCTACGCCGGGGGCGCAGCGACGATGACCAGAGGCAGTCCAGGGGGGAGGGGGGGGTGTTTCAACCCCTCCCCCATCCTGGCGCCAGGGGGGGGGGTTTCACCTCTTCCCCACCCCCCTCGCGCTGGCGCCGGCGCTGGCGGCGGCCAGCAGCGCCGGCGCTGGCGCCGGCGACGGCGGGGACGCAGCGACGCTTACCACCACTACCACCACCACCACCACTACCGCCACCAATGCCGCCTCAACCACCACCAACAGGACCACACAACCACTACCACCACCACCACCACCACAGCCACCACCACCACCACAACCACCACCACAACTCACCATCACCACCACCACGACAAAAACCGGCCACAACTACCACCACCACAATTTACCACACCATCACCACCACCGCCACAACAACCATCACTAACAGCAACACAACCCACCGCCACCACCACAAACCACCACACCACCACCACCACCGCCACCACCACCACCACACCAAACGTCCACAAACCACCGCCACAACCACCACAACCGACCACCACCACCACCACCAAACCACCACCACACCACCACAACCACCACCACAACCACCACCACAAGTCACCATCACCACCACCACAAAAACCCACCACCACTACCACCACCACCACAATCTACCACAACACCACCACAACCGCCACAACCACTACCACTACCAGCAACACAACCCACTGCCACCACCACAAACCACCACACCACCACCACCACCACCGCCACCAACACCACCGCCACCACACCAAACGTCCACAAACCGCCGCCACCACCACAACCCACCACCACACCACCACCACCACCACCACCACCACCACCACCACAAAAACCCACCACCACTACCACAACCACCACAGTCTACCACAACACCACCACAACCGCCACAACCACCAACACTACCAGCAGCACAACCCACCACCACCAAAAACCACCACCACCACCACCGCCACCACCGCCACCACCACCCACCACCAGCACCACCTCCACAATCCACCGCCACAACCACCACCACCGCCACCACCACCACCACAACCCACCACCACCACCACCACTGTCGTCCTCGTCCACGCTCCCCGCCCCCGCCGCCCACCGCCGCAGGCGCCGGCGCTGGCCCACGTCCCCGCCGCCGTCGCCAGCCGCCGCCGGCCCGAGGAAAGGGGAAGCAAGGGGGGGGTTCGAACCCCCCCCTGTCACGGGCGGGGGGGGGGTGTTCGAACACCCCCCCCTAGTCACGGGAAGAGCGGGGGGGGGTTCCGTTTCGACCCCCGCCACTCCAAGCGACCACAGAACGCGCTCTTTCAGACATGAAGTAGGACGGCGTTGGAAATAGATTGGGTGTCCGCCCGCCCCCCGAAGGGGACGGAAAGGTGGAGCCACTCGGTCATTGAAATAGAAGGGCGCCGAAAGTAGGTTGGAATCTGGGAATCCAGACATATCTGCTTCAACGACCGATGGGTAGGCAGGCGCCCTCCGAACTCGTGCCCATAGCAGGCCGTTGCAGGCGAGCACGGCCGTAGCAGGCTCGGACTGGCCGCGAGCAGCACGGCGAGCAGCACGCGGAGCAGGCCGGGCTCGACGGGGCTGCTCGGCCGCGCTCCCGTGCGCGGCATCGGCGGAGGGAGCCGACCGAACCAGCAGAGCGAGCGGGGCCAGCGCGCCTCTGGCCGGCAGGCCGCCCGTGCGTCGACGCGGCTCCATAATGCTCGCACACTCACGGCCCTCAGCGACCCGACGCGGCTGCACACACTCGAGGAACGACGGCCTTTCGCGTCGCATTCGCGACGCGAAACACTTATACCAACCACTCGACCCTTGCGACACGACCGGCGCTGCCAGAAATCACGACACGCAATCTGCGCACCACGCGGTAGGACGCCCGACGCGGCACAGCCCGACGATCGCCACGACAGAACGTGACAGCTGCTGCTGATGCCTCTTCGCATCCTCTCGCTTCCTCGGCGCTTGCAATCATATGAACGCTACTTGAGCAGGGACCGTCCGTCCTGGCATTCCTATAGTCCTACCACGAAGTGTTCTTAGAACCCAACAGTGTTCTTATAACAAAAGCAATGTTCTCAGGACATTCACCCGACGTGTTAAAACAAAACGCTCCCAGCCAGACATGTTTTAAGAACACGTCGTGGAAACCACAAAACAGTTTCTTAGAACATGGCTTGGCAGGCCTACAGGCGGGCCAGGACGCTTCGCCACTGCTCGAGCTACGGCGCAGTCGCCAATCTGTGCCTTGGTCGATCCAGTCTGCACCGTTTGCAAGCTGCCGGGAGAACGCCGACTCCTCAAGCCCCGAGGCGCGGGCGCTCGCAACGACTCCCACGCCACGGCCTGCCCTGGGGCCGCGGGCTCGCCCGAGCACGCCTTGAGACACCCGATCGCTGTGCGTGACGCCTCCCAACGAGCTACACATCCTCGTGGAGAGGTCAAGCGGGCGTTGACTTTCTAGAAGCAAGTAAGAAATATTTGACACGTCGAGCGTCCGATCAGGAACGCATACCGCCATAATATGTGCTTCTCATCGGTCGTGTGACGCTGCACCCGAGGAAGATCGTATCATCTCAACTTGTTTGCGATTCGGCCGGCTGGCGGTATAATATATGATCGCGCAAGGGGTTCGAGCTGAGGAGCCATGCAAACAAACAATCAAGCCACCCCCTTTGCAAGTAGTCTGCCACGAACATGCAATTGCCATGCCCCGTCTTCCCCAAAGCACCCGCGCTGAGACTCTGCCACCACGTTGAACACGTAGCGCTTGTCTGGGATGACACCTGTTGCGATCCCAACCGTACTTACCTGCAACGCTTATGCTCTCACTCAAACATGACATCCACTTGCAATTCGACATGGGTCGCCGCAATGCCCCCCCTTTTGTCCGGCCCGGGCAGAGCAGCAGGAGGCGCCGCCAGGGGGAGCCCAGCGCGGATCCAACGAATCCGCGCGGAGCGCCAGCAGTTCATGTCTATGGCGCGTTTTGTTCCCTCCTTCGATGCAGCTGAGCACCCGCGGCCCACGGCAGCGGCGACGCCTCCGCGGTCGACAGCCCCCCGGGGAGCCGCAAGGCCTCGCTGGAGCGCGGCTCGCTCTCCTGCGACGCTGCTGGAGCCCCCCAAGAACGAAGGGGCCCTGGGGCACACAAATACACACACAAATCACTGGATTCAAACATTTCCCTATCGTTTCTGGGTCTCTGTCTTCCCCCCCACTTCCAATACTTTTCCATACCTTCCTGGGAACCGACGATTCATTGTGTCTCTGTGTTTTTCTCCCCCGCCCGAGAGAATCGCGATCACACGATGTGGCCGCCCTGCGCTTCGTACGCGCGCCCGCGCGCGCGGTGCCGCTTCCGGGGGGCTCCGCCGGAGAAGCTCGGGGCGAGCTCGACTCAAGAGCGGGGGTCAATGTCTCAATGAAGGGGCCCCAGGACACCAATAAATATAGAATATACGTAAATAAAAATATTCCCCATACTTTCCCATAGTTCCTGGGTTTCTGTCTTCCCCCCCACTTCCCACATTTTCCAATATTTTCTAAGGAATCGACGATTGCTTGTGTCTGTGTGTGTTTTCCCTCCTGACTCAACCCCGCGTGGAGAAACATTGTCCTCAGAGGTTGCCTCAGTATGCCATTCAGGGCCCCCGAGGTGATCCCAAGATGGCCCCAAGGAGTCCCAAGATAGACCCCAAAAGGAAGCAGGGTGGCCCAAGACGACACAACGGACCCCTAATCGTGCCCAACCTGGCCGACGAAACCTCCTCTCGGAGGCCCAAGCGCAGCGAGATAACGTCAAATGGTGTGATCCCCTAGTAGGAATTCGCCTCATGGGGTTTTCCACTTATCCTGTGTCTTTGGTCCCAGTTACCGCTGGACCTGGGACATAAGAACATACTTCAAGAACATGCGACCCTCCGCCAGCCAAGCTGAAGAACACTCGAGGGTACTCTCCCCCAGGATGCACAAGAACATACAACAAACGCAAAGAACCTCAGGAGACCTTCCCCGAACCGACCTCGATCGTAAACCTCTCGGTCGGGCCTCACCTCTTCGGTTTCTTTGGCCCCAGTCCCGGTCGAACCTGGGAGGGAGGGAGGGGGAGAGAGAGGGAGGGAGGAGGAGGGCGGGGAGGAGGGGGAGGAGGGAGGAGGAGGAGGAGGAGGAGGAGGAGGGGGAGGAGGGAGGAGGGAGGAGGGAGGAGCAGGAGCAGGAGGAGGAGGAGGAGGAACGTGAGACCCTCCGCCCCTCCGCCAGCCAAACTGAAGAACCCTCGAGGCATGGTGTGATTTGCCGTGGTCTGCTCCTTTGACGCTTGGGAAGGCGCGAGAGCTTTCCTGCTCAATGACCTCGGCACGAGCTTCCACGGCTACAGATGCGTGCAAGCGAACAGCCAATATGGACTATCTACCCTTCACATGCCAAGAATCACAGACATGCATGGTTCAATGTATTTTGCTCCTCGTCATTCTTGGATATACTTGGTCCAAGCTTGCTCCCTGGACGCCCCACAAAGGGCTCCACAGTCGCACCAAGTGCTCAACCCCCCCCAGCCCCCAAACGAAATCCAGACCACCCCAGAACTGCCGTGGAGGTCCCCAAGGCTCATCCAGCGCCTCTCATGTGGACCCACGAACCTTGAAGAACCTCACCAGGAAGCTGCAAGACACACCAGAGACCCTGGGACGCTCCCGAAGTGACCCCCATACGACCCCTGACATGCGAACAATCGAAACACATGCGTTCCCCCACGGTGTGCTTTACTTCCCATCCGTCTTGACCCGATGCTGCTTCTGGTAGAAATCCAGCGCTGCGTGGACACAACCAGGCGGAGCCCAGGCCATCTAGCATGGCTTCCAAATGGCCCCAAGCCTACCAATAACCCTCGTGGAGGCACACCGCAACAACAAGTCGTTTCCAAAAGCATGATGCTCTCCAGATCAGTTCATACTTATCTACGCAAGGCGCAACCTTGGCATTTGTGCATGCTGGCTTCACCGCCTTGCAAGCAGCACTGGCAATACTCTCGGAGATGCTACCAACTCGCCGCCGCCTCCTCCTCCTCCTCTTTCTGATCCCCCTCTTCCTCCAAAGCTCGACCTAAACTGTGTTTGTCGTTCTCGTCTCGTGTTCGATGTCTCTCGCTCTGCCTCCGCTCCGCCTTTGCTGGGAGACGACATCGAAACGCAAACGGCCCACGAAATCGCCAGAACGCCGTTGACGCAGGTCGGACCCCATTGTCCCCATCCTGGATCCCGTCTTGACGGTGCCAAGGGTCCGTGGAAGGGTCCGTGGCGGGCCCCAGGACCTCCGCAAACGCGCGGGACAAACTTTCAGACCCCTTTCCCTCGTGACCCGTTTTGGGCGCCCGAGTTATCCGGGGTAACTCGGGTCCGGGGTAACTCGGGTTTGGATTCCCGAAAAAGGAACCCGAGTTATCCCTGACCCGAGTTACCCCTGATGATTCGGGGCTCTTGGACGCCCGAGTTATCCGGGGTAACTCGGGTCCGGGGTAACTCGGGTTCGGAGTCCCGAAAAACGAACCCGAGTTATCCCTGACCCGAATTACCCCTGATGATTCGGGGCTCTGATTTCCTGCTGCACCTTCTGTTGAGCAGGGGCCGACCGTCCCGGCATTCCTATAGTCCTACCACGAAATGTTCTAAGAACCCAAGAATGTTCTAAGAACAAAAAAACAATGTGCTTAGAACACTAACCCGATGTGTTAAAACAAGACAGTCTCAACCAGAAATGTTCTAAGAGCATTTCGTGCAAACCCCAAAGCGTTCTTAGAACATTATTTGGTAGGCCTATCGGCGAACCAGGACGCTTCGCCACTGCTTGACCCTGAGCGAACGAACTGCAAGGGGGGTGCGAGGCGCCGTCGATGATGGCGGTGCACTTGCCCTGCTGGCACAGGCCCGAGGGCACGACGCTGTAGTGCTCGCTGGTGTTGTTGAGCAGCCCGCAGACCTCGGAGCATGCCGGCGCTGTGCGTGCGGCGACGACGGCCCCGCAGCAATCTTCCCGGACATCGCGTGCGCTTCGCGTTCGCGACGCCTGCGCTTGCTACGATTATGTCGGGCCTGTCCTCCTACGGGGGGATTTTCGACGAAAAGCAAAAAATAATACCCCACACATGGTCAAAAGATGCCCCAAAAATAATGCGGGGGCTATTCTCTGACTATTTCGTTTAGCCTTCTTGGCATATTTTTGGGGGTCTTCTTATTCTTTCGTTGCACATGCCCTCTGTGGGGGGGCACGCCCGACATGATGCTGCGAGAGCGGCGTGCAGGCACCGCACCTCGCTCGGACTCCCTGCCGGCCACGCTCCGGGGGCGGAAGCGGCGCAGCGATGGGGCCCGGACGGCCGAGAGACGGCGCGCACCGTGCCTCGCCACCGCTCGGACGTCCACTCCGCGTGCAGGCGTTGGCTCCGTGCGTGCTGTTGTCTGCTGCCAGAGGATCCAGGATGCTCCCCAGTGATCTCCGCCGAGGGGGAGGAGGAGCAGGAGGAGGAGGCGGAGGAGGAGGAGGGGAGGACGCCAGCTGATCCCGGCATGCTCCTCGACGGTCCCCGCCGAGAGAAAAACAACACGCGCACGCCCGAGCGGATGCCGAAGGACCAGCCGTCTCGGCGGATGGCACGCAGGAGGCCCGACAAAACGGCGCGCCTCGGCGGCGTGGCCCCGAAGACGCGGGCGAGGTGCGGGCTTTGTGTTCGGATGCGCGGCCCCCGAAATCCTAAGTCGGGCGTGTCCCCCTACAGGGGGATTGTCGACGAGCAAAAATACTAACAACAAGACTTCAAAATTGTCAAGAGAATACTCCAAAAATAGCCCCCAGACTATCTTGTTGACTATTTTGGAATATTCCTCCTGTAGAGGGACGGGCCCGACTTAACCGAAATCCCGTGAGATGAAGCCACGGGGATGGGCGCGGGGCTTGCTGAGGGGATATGGAGGGGGCCCAGGGACACCAACAAGTAAACTGACACGAATAACAGGGTTCCCCCTCTTTTTCCCATATGTTCTGGGTTTCCGTCTTCCCGCATATTCTCATATCTTTTCTGGGGGATCGACGATTAAATTGTGTCTGTGTGTTTTGTTCCCCCTCCTGATATGTGTCTGTGTTTTTGTTCCCCCTCCCCATGGGGGTTTGTCAGTGGACGCCAAGGTGGGTTGAATCTGGCCCGACCCAGCTCATTAGTGGGTGGCTGATGCCCCAAGTGGCTCGGGGGGATAGCATTCCAGGCTAAGCGGGATCCGCCCACTTGGCGGAGCTGTCTAATCCCCGTAAGTCACTTGGGGCATGTGTAACCCACCTGGAAGCTAGGTTAGGCCGGGTATAACCCCTTTGGCGGCGTCCACTGATAACCCCCCCTATTCCCTTAGCAACCCCCGCGCCCATCCCAGCAGTAATGAAGGGAAACTGGGACACACAAATAAATACACACAAATAAAACAATTCCCCATATTTTCCCATATTTTTTGGGTTTTTGTCTTTCCCCCCACTTCCCATATTTTCCTATATTTTCTGGGGAGTCGACGATTAATTGTGTCTGTGTGTTTTTTCCCCTCCTGAAGTAAGAGGATACACATCGGGTGGGGATGAATCGAGAACTTACCTCTGCAAAAAAAGACGAGAGCGAGAGCGACATCTCGGCCTTTGCGCGCGGGAGGCGTGCCCCGTCCTGAGACGACGCCAGGACGAGGAGGACAAATCGAGCATCTCAGAGAGAAAGATAAATCGAGCATCTCAGAGATCTGGCGGCTCTGTAAGATGTCTCGGGCGCCGCGGCCTTTTCGGAGAGTTTTGAACGCTCCGAGAGCGTTCTGGAACGCTCTGGAGCGGGATTGTCCTCGTCCTAGCCCCGTCCGATCTCGACTTTTTCCCACGGGGCCGGTTTCTCCCCCTGAGTCGCTTTTGGACGGTCCGGGGGCCCGGCGAGGGCCTCCAAGGGTCGAAAACTAGGACAACAAATCTGCCGTCCTGTTTTTTCCCCGACGCGAGCATGTCTGGGCCTCAGTGGTGGTGTGCCACTCACTCCAAGCGGAGGCCCGAATTGAATGTACGCCATGATGAGGGAGAGGGAGGAGGAGGGGAAGAAGGAGGGGGAGGAGGGGGAGGAGGGGGAGGTGGAGGAGGGGGAGGATGAGGAGCAGGGGCAGGATGGGGAGGAGGGGAGGAGGAGGAGGAGGAGGAGGAGGAGGAGGAGGAGGAGGAGGAGGAGGAGGAGGAGGAGGAGGAGCAGTGGGAGCAGGGGGGGGAAGGGGGAGGAGGAGGAGGAGGAGGAAGAAGAATAAGAGGAGGAGGAGAAGGAGGAGGAGGAGGAGGAGGAGGTGGAGGAGGAGGAGAGGGAGAAGGAGGATTAAGGGGAGGCCCTGCGCTCGCAGTGATGAGGGAAAAGGAAGGCCTGGCCTGGCACAGCGCGGCGTGTCGAAGCTCGAATCTCGAAGGCTCCCGGCGCTGCATGGCGCTGCATCCCCCCCAAGATGAAGCACATAAGACGAAGCCAGAGCGAGGGTCAATTCTGGTGAGGGTAGATCGAGAATCTCTGAGATCTGGCGTCACCGGAAGATGTATCGGGCGCCGCGGCCTTCTCAGAGCGTTCTGGAACGAACGCTCTGAGAGCGTTCCAGAGCGTTCTGGAACGGACTCATCCTCGTCCTAGCCTCGTCTGAACACAGTTCAACGAGACTCCAGACCCGGGTCAATCCAGACCCGGGTCAGCCAGGCCTTGGAGGATCCTGCAGGATCCTGCACCCAAGCCCAGGTCAATGCAGCCGTGGCTCTGCAGGATCCTGCAAGACCGGGCGCTCTGACCGACCCCCGTTTGCAGTGGCCCCCGTCCCTGGAGCCCCGAGAGGTGAAACAACTTTTTTCCCCTCGGACGCCAACGAGTTAAGTTCCATTGATGTGGGTGGGCCTAGCTGGGCTGAGCGCCACTCAGCGTCCTGGGATGTACCTCAGGGCCCCCGCCGAGCCGCATCGAGGCTTCTCGGCGCCGCATTCCCCTGCTTTCGCCATTTCGAGGCCTCCGCGGGGGCCACTGGGCACCCCCATGAGACATTGTTATCATTGTTATTATTATTACTAGTCGGAGGTGAAGGGGTGAGATCGAAGTGGAACAGAGAGCCCCCCTACCGGGAAACCGGTTTCGGTTTCGTGTTCGTGCGTGCCGTGCGTGCGAGCGAGGCGAAGCTGCGTGGGCGGGCGAGAAGAAAGTCTTCTCCGGCTGAGGCGCGGCCGGACCAAATGATTCCTCTCCGGGGGCGGGTGCCGCGCGGTGTCCCGCCGGTGTCCAGCCTCCGGCTGAGGCGCGGCCGGACCAAATGTTTCCTTTCAGGGGGCCGGTGCCGCGCGGTGTCCCGCCGGTGTCCCGTCGGTGTCCCGATGATGATGATGATGATGATGATGATGATGATGATGATGATGATGATGATGATGATGATGATGATGATGATGATGTCGATGATGTTGATGTTGATGCTGATGTTGATGATGATGGTGGTGATGGATGGTGGTGTCCCGATGATCATGTTGATGTTGACGATGGTGATGATGATGATGGTGATGGTGGTGATGATGATGGTGTCCCGGTGATGATAATGTTGATGATGATGATGATGTTGCTGCTGATGATGATGGTGTCCCGATGATGATGATGTTGATGGTCCTGATGATGTTGATGATGAGATGATGATGAGGTGATGCTGATGAAAATGTTGATGATGGTGCCCCGATGATGATGAGGTTGATGATGATGCTGTTGATGATGATGGTCATCATGATGATGGTGTCCCGATGATGATGATGATGATGTTGATGATGACGATGATAGTGTCCGGATGATGATGATGATGATGGTATGGGGATGATGTTGAGGTGATGATGATGATTTTGATGATGGTGGTCCGATGATGGTGATGATGATGTTGATGATGATGATGGTGACCCGATGACGATGGTGATGATGATGCTGGCGACGATGATGATGGCGTCCCGCCGATGATTGTGTTGCTGATGATGATGTTGCTGATGATGATGGTGTCCCGATGATGATGATGATGAGTTTGCTGAGGTTGTTCATGATGATGAGATGATGATAATGATGATGATGGTGGTGTTCCGATGATGATGATGATGATGATGATGATGATGATGATGATGGTGATGATGATGATTGTGCCCCGATGATGAAGAAGTTGATGATGATGATGGCGACGACGATGGTGTCCCGATGATGATGATGGTGGTGGTGATGATGATGTTGATGATGATGGTGATGGGGTGCTGATGACCGATGATGATGATATTGTTGATGACGCTGATAGCGATGATGTTGATGATGATGACGTTGATTGTGAGATCGATTGTGATCTCGATAGTGAGATCGATAGTGAGACCGAACGTGAGATCGATTGTGAGATCGATAGTGAGATCGATAGTGAGATCGATAGTCAGATCGATTGTGAGATCGATCGAATGAAATAGATCGAGTGAGATCGATTGTGAGATCGATCGAGTGAGATCGATCGAGCGAGACCGATAATGAGATCGATAGTGAGACCGTCCCGGTGAGACGTTGGTTCCTCCCCCCCCCCCCGAACCTCCTTTTCACCCGAAGGGTGGTCGTGTAGGTATTACTAATATTGTCATTATCCGTATGATGATGCTGCTGATGCTGATGATGATGATTACTAGACCTCCGGACGAGGAGAATGGCCAGAGTGGGAGCGGAGAAAAGCAGGGGGCATTCCGCGGGTGTGTTCCTGCTCCCACTCCTGCTCTCCCGATGGTTGCCCTGCCTGCGGTCCCGGCAGCCGTCCCGACTCTCCCTCTCCCCTGGCTGTGGGGCGGCCTGCCCGGCCAACTGAGGGGCAACGATAGGGGGGGGGGGGACTGGCTTAGGGGGGGATACATCGACCTGGAATCGGCGATACACCGCCGATGGATCGGCGACAGGCCTCCGATCGTGAATCCGCACGCTCCTGGGCAAGTTATGGCTATCGGGCCCCTTTCGGCGATCCATGGGCGATTTGGGGTCGATGCATCCCCCCCTGCAGTCGGGCCGCTGAAATAAGGAACGCTAAATAAGGGACGAAGCCCCCGAAGCCCCCAAACCGCCTTCGTTCACGAGGAGGTCTAGAGGAGCAGGCATGAAGGAGCATCCAACCCCTTCCGAACCCAAGCTGCTTCTCATTTCAACGTCTTGACAATATGCCTATACCCCCGCCATCGTTTCCTCTGAACCGCTGACCTAACCGTGCTGCGTCTCCCCAAGGTGCGCCGTGCACCACGTCCGATGCCAAACGTAACGCGAGCACGAGTGCCAGAAACAACGGAGAATGCGAAGCTGGCTGCAGAAGGCGGGTTTAGAGTGGATGCACGGCAAGGCGGAAAGCTCAAGGAAACTTGGGGGATACCGAACCCAACTACGAACACATCTTAATTTGCTGGCGCTGAGATAAGCATGACAACGAATGCGGATTCGTATTGGACAATCGACGAACCTTGAAATCCACACCTGATGTTGAATAGGGGCGATCAACAATAACAACATATGAACATTAACGGATTCAGATACGGATGCTTAACGTATCCGTGCCTGAACGATCACCACTGTTAGCATGTAGCATGAATCACATCGTGACGTATTCCTGATGCCTCTGTTTGGTGGGAGGGGACAGGAGGTCTGGGTGCACATGACGAGCAACAAGATGCAAGAAAGCATACTATGCGAAAGCATCAGGCGTGGTCCCTAGCCGCGACTCTCCCTCTAGAACGCCGTAGAACTGTCACTGAACCCAGAGCGGTCTGCCAAAGGAGCTCGCCGTGTTCATGATCTTGTCCTTGCGCAGGAAGACCTGCAGCTCCCCCCTTCTGGTTAGACAGCATGGGCAGCGATACATCACTCATCCTGTGGGGTTCCCAACCTTTATGTGGTAGAACATTCGCGCATTCACACACGTACATGTCCGAAATGCCCCGTCTGTAGCTGATGAAGAGATTGGAAGGGAGAGGGGCGGAGAGGGGCGGAGAGGATCTACCGAACGGTTCACGCGCTCCTGGTTGTGAGCTGACACTTAAGCGTCGTACGTTATTATTTGTCTAACTTCACTTCAGTATAGGAGAGTTTCCTAAATGCCCGTGTTCACCTCAACCAAGCCAGGTGTGGCTATGGCTGGTGGTCTATCAAAACAGGCTCATCTCGTATAACTGGCAGTTAAGCCAGATGACATTATTCTCCCTAGTTTGATGTTCAGGTTTTTCGCTCTGCGAGCAACTTCGAATGGACCCGTGCTCTTATGCGTAGGTCTCGCTGTTGTCGGCCGAATTCGCCTCCGCCATAATTCTTGATTGAAACTTGTGTAGTGACACCCCCCTATAGTCAAGGTGCACGGGGCTGCTAGCAATCAACTCCTAGATCGCAAGGTGGTTTCTTTAGTTATGGCTCCGCTCCGCATCCATCCCTCACCATGCAGAACTCTGTCTGTCTAATGGGCCCCGCCCATCTCTCTGGGAGACGTAAGACTCGGGTTCAGAGGACTCGGGTTGCCCTGACGGGGCCATCATGCAAATGACGTGACCCAATCTGAAATTTGACTCGAACTCCCGCTGCAAACACCCCACGAGAAAATGTACCGTCAACACTCCAGGACAAACACGTCAGAAAGCGTCGCAAACCCGAGTTTTTGCGCACTCGGGTCTTACGTTTCCCCGAACCTCGTCACGGTCTCGAGCTCTATAGCTGGGCCGCATCAGAAGGATGCACGATGAGGATGCAAGGGCCCTGGAAAGCCATTTCGAAACTTTGCGAGCGGGGCGCGGCCAACGAACGAAAGTGGCCAAGGATGGCCCCGGAGGCAAGGACGCACGCGTGCCCTCGGGAAGGGTGCCCACACTCGCTATGCGGGCTGGCTGCACCCCGCTGCCCGCCCGAGGCTGCACGCCAGGAAGGCTTCCGAGCAGCGCCCTGCCCGTCGTCGCCCCCGGGGCCTCCTCCTCCTCCTCCTCCTCCTCATCTCCTCCTCCTCCTTCCCCTCCTCCTCCTCCTCCTCCTCCTCCTCCTCCTCATCTCCTCCTCCTCTTCCTCCTCCTCCTCCTCCTCCTCCTCCTCCTCCTCCTCCTCCTCCCCCTCCTCCTCCTCCTCCTGCTCGATGTGCAGCCCTCCGCGTGGAGGAGCGCGCACCGGGGGTGCAGGCCGCGCCGCCGATAGCAGTCGTCGGACGGCAAGCCACGAGCACGCGAACAGCGTACGCCCCTGCCTATCGCACACCGCTTGCCGCGGGAAACAGCAGACGGGTTCCGCGTGCTTGACTTAACGGGCGAAGAGCGGTATAACATAAACTTTTTCGCCGTCGGGGGCGCCTGTCCCTGGGCGGCTGGAAAATTTATACCCCTACGGTGCCACCGTAAGGGTATAAACTTTCCAGCCGCGCTGGGGCAGGTGTCCCCGACAGCGGAAACATTTTTTTATACCGTTCTTCGCCCGTTAATTGACAAGCAACTCCACAAATCTTTACAATTGCGACTGCGGAATGCCGCTACGACCGCTCTCGGATTGGCGATGGCGCGGCGCACCATCGCCTGCACTGTCGATGAACTCGAGGTATCGGCCATCTTGGCAGAAGCTGTGGCTTGTCTCGCGAGCTGTTGCCAAATTGGAGTGTGGACTCTGAAAGTTGGCAACGTTGTGCCCACATAGGTTATAAATGAGTACCCCACTGACCGAGAGCACCATGGCCACTGGCTTCTGAATCTCGCTCCACGTCGTCGCGCTGCCATGGCTGTACGTAATGCATTGCGTGCGGTCAGCTCCACAGAAGAGAACATGAACAACTATCAATCCACCAGAGATCATGAGACCCTTCGCAACCGCCACAGGCACCGCACCAAACTGTTGAATAGAGAAATAAAATGACAATGAGTGCATACCCTCCACAATAATGTAGGATAGGTACGCAAACCACGCCCACGATATACTTGGCTGCGGTGATTCCATGATTGGCTGGTATACTACCTCGTGCCATCTCGGAACAGTGTAAATCAACGTCCAAACAGTGAAGACTATAGTTCCCAAGAGGCTCTCGAAGAGCGCCAATGCCTCAACACAAGGCTTTGCAATCCCATCCGATGATAAAATCCTCTGACTCACGGGGTATTGCAACGCATGAAATACATTGGAAACAGATGCAGCCATCAATCCTATCGCGAATGAACCTGGAGCCTCGAGGGGTGCGGGCACAGCGGTCACAAGTATGCTGCCAGATACGAGCACAATTCCGAACCACTGAGAAACTGTCACACTGGCTCGCAATATAGACACAGCAAATATAGCGACGAAGAGTACAACGGACGAGTGGAAGATGTGGAAGAGAAGGGGTCCTGCATTAATGTGCGCGAAATAATCGATGCTTGATCCAACCATGTCATTGACAATCAAATACAGCATGCCGGCAATGGCTGACCAACTCCACCTCCAAAACTGGAAGGGTGGTTGATTTAGTTTCCGTACACCAAACAAGAGAGCGGCCCATGAACAACCCCAATACCCCAAGAACGACACAAAGTTTGTCTTCCCCCGGGCAGGTCCAGCATGAAGAAGCAAGAGCTCCCAGAGTACCGACCTGAAGATACCAGATGTGATCCAAATGGCCAACCACCTCAATGAGTACAGTCTCATTGCTCCACTACCAGGTGCTCTGCCCACACAGTGTTCCTTTCCTGACAAGACTCCCGCAGCCTGCGATGCGTTTGTACCTTCGTAATCCTTTTCAAACTGCCACCGATTGGAAAACAGTGTCCATGATTCTGACTACAGCCTTTTTCGTTGGAAGTCTTTTGAAACAAAACACATGCCTTGAGGTCATACAACTTGAACTAAAATGGCTACGGGAGAGATGCTTCACATTTGAAGCGCAGTTGATCCATACATGCTTCGTCGCAGTTCAGCAGCATTCGATTAATTAGCAATTGGTGCATGGTTGCGCTCCAGGTTCTCACATTAGACTCGCAGTGGGCTGTCATTTCCCACGCATGGTGTGCATTCAACTCGCAATATGAAAACACGTTTGATACGCATGTGGTTCGCATTTGAACCGAATTCAAATCATTCGGATGAGCGTGCCATTCTCACCCGTCTGCGCTTACACGCTACATCACAACCACTCAACTCGACCTTGATATTGGCAACATGTCGGTCGCATCTGTATGTGTGATATCCGCAAACCTGCCGTGGACACTGAGTAGACACTCCTCGAGCACCTTCAAAATCTCTGCGCGTGAAGGTCCCAATACCCATCAGAAACCCAAACCTCCAACTGACAAATGTCTTGGGGCGTCCCGCGTGACCCTCGTGCGCCCCGCGTGACTCTTCCCGAAGTTACAAATCATTGAAACGCATTGCGTTTGCCAGTGTCTCCAGCCTCGAACCCGAAGGGCCCTGTTGTGCCGAAATTGGCCCCGAGACCACCAAGAGGCTCCTGGAGGCGCCCAAGATGACCAAGCGGCCTCCAAGAGGCTCCCCAAAAGCTCCAAGAAACCTCCCAATGGCCCCAAGAAGCACCCCGAGCGACCCGGCACAGCATCCGGGAGGTCTGACCTACAACCACGTTGGCGGCATGGGCTGAGCGCCATCTTATATGGCCACGCATCAGCCGCAATTGGAATATGCAACTCAAACTGGATTCATCAACTGGTTCGTAAGCAGGTTGCGCAAACTTTGCACCCGAAATGTTGCTCCCTTGCTTCGCACTGTGTTCGCAAATGTTTACGTAGCCTGTGGTTTTCAATATCTTGGTTTACATAACGATCGCATTTGAAAAACGATAGGCTGACATGCGATTCAGGGGCATTGGCGAATAACTAAACAAATCACATGAATTGCAAAAAAGATTGGCCTTACGTTGACATTGCATCACCGTCGGGTCACGATTGAGACATGATCGGGACACCGACGGGGAACCGTGAGAGTCGCACTTTATCCACACCTAATCAACAACTTGATCGCATGAACCCCGCATGTGATACACAATGGAATTACAACGTTCACAAACAATTTGCACTTCGTGTGCCGTCGGGGTATCTTGTGATACACCACGAAGGGCATCACGAAATGACATGTGTTTCCTACTAGTTGGATGCTGTTCCCATTCGGCTCACGCTTGCAACACAATATTGCGAGTACAACTTCAATTGCCCAAGCGTTCCATCCACATTCTCATCCACTGACGTGCAGTGGGCACAGCGGTTCGTCCTCAGGACCTTTCGAGCCCTCAGTATGGAATGCTGCCTGCACGTCTTCTTAAACACATTCCCTGGGCCCTCACCTCATGGGCCCTCTGGGCTCTCCTGGGGTTCACCGCGTGACTTCCCGAGCAACATACCAACCGAGCCGCCGAATCGTTGTCGAACTTCTCGGCCACGACGGGGGAACCGAAGGGGCCCGGGAGCCGCTTGTGCAAAGACGGCTGTCGAGATCACCAGCAGACGCCCAAACCACCGTCTGCCGCCTCCTGCTGCCCTGCCACAAAGGGTGCACGGCGCAACAAGCGTTGCAATGGTTTTTGGTCCTTTTATGACAACTCCCCAGAAACCTTCGGCGCAACCCGCTAGCCACCTGGAAAGCTCAGGAAACTAGAAAGGTCGTGGGGTGTGCCCCCTAAGACGGCCCCACTATGCATGGCAACCAAGTCGGTCAGGATGACCTCCAAGATGGCCAAGATGGCCCAAGACGAGCCGAAGATGGTTGCAAAAAGTCTCTCAAGCGGCCAAATATGCACTCAAGACGGCCCGAGAGTGCCCCAAGATAGCCCGAGAGGCCCCCAAGAAGCCTCCAAGGCGGCCAATGATATCGACAAGAGGTCCTCCAGGAAGGCGCCGAGGTCCAAACCATTGATTGGCCTGAAATGTTCAACGAATTTAAGCATTTGCCTTTCTCTTCGTCCTTTCGACGGCCAAAGGCGACCCTCGAGGCCTCAAAAATCGCCCCCAGAACGCCCAAGAAGCCTCCCAAATGTCCCGGCCCCTAGAAGGCCCCCAAACGGCAAAAGATGCCTTCAGACTCCCAAAATGCCCTCCGAGACGGCCCTGAAACGCCCCAAGAAGGCCTCGAGACTGCCCAGAGTGGCCGGCTTCTGACGGCGTCAGACGGGTCAGGAAAGCCCTAAGACGGCCAAAGAGGCCCCCAACAAATCACCAAAGGCCCCAAGAGGCTCAAGGGAGGCCCAAGAGGCCCCACAAGGAAGCTCCCGGGAGACCCCAAGAGTTTTCCAAGAGGCTCCCCAGAAGTCTGCTCCTCTTTTTTTCCACCTCTGCTCATTTTCTTCTTTCTCCCCCCAGGTGTCCCTCGAATGGTTTTTACAACGGGGCACCACACAATTCGATACTTTGGCCAAGCTGTGGCCATAACGTTCGGCCACATAGGCGCTTCCAACAAAGCAGAAAGGGCGGTGATTCTCCGTAGGCGTCTTCGATCCGCAACCCTGACTGGTTTATCGAAAGGGTGCTTGACGTGCCAATGCCACGCACGCCGTGCGCGACACCGAACGCGAACCAATGCCATTCGGGTGAGACGTCCACACACGAACTGTCACATACATGTTTTCCGCAAACGTGCGCTTCGATCGGAACAGCCGATGTGTTCCAGGTGGACTTGACATTGCCCAATGATGTCGAAATCAATTGACCATGCAATTACATACGCCAAATCGAATGAACCGACAACACCATCAACGGTCGTGGGCCTAGAACCGCTGGCGTTCTAGAAAGATTGCGAACGTGCGCCATAATAACGCACTTCAGGACACTTTCCAACTACGGCATACTCAAAGCAACAAACTACACTTGTACCTGCCTCAAACGTGGGCATGCTACGGAGCACTGAGTGGACACGAACACAACCAACATACTCACGACGCAATGGTCAATCACCACGATTCCTGCAGATGCTGAGGCTACACGAGACATGCGTTGAACACCTTGCCGTCACCCTGACCAAAGACATCAAACCAAGAACGTGCCACCTCAAAACTCTGCAACCGTGCCACTCGGCACGCCCTGGAGTGGGAGACTGCCAGATTCTGTAGGATAACCTTTTTTAGTTCCAGTGCCCCCCCATCATGTTACAGTATGAGCTCGACCACAAGAAACCTTCCACAAGAAACCCAACCCTGGAGCCCCAGGACGTCCATTGATTCTTGGTGTGGGAACGTCGCGTTTTCCACCTTCGAGCCATCGAAACCCAAGAAACTCAGGACACCCTGGAGGCAAGCAGGGTGTTTCTTTGCATGGGCTTCCACTGTGCCAGACGGCGCATGCCCACCTCGTTCTGCAGGCTCCTGGGTTCCCCCGACGCCTCCCCGACGAGTCACCAGCGTCTTCCCCGGGCGGCCCAGGACGGTCCCCACATGCCCGAGTGGCATGGGAAAACGACCCAAGATGCCTCAAGAGAGGCCACGAGGGGGCCAAGACGGACCCCAAACGGCCCGAGTGGCATGGAAAAACGACCCAAGATGCCTCAAGCGAGGCCACGAGGGGTCCAAGATGGCCCCCACGTGGCCCGAGACGCTTTCAAAACTAAGGGGGCGCCCGGATGGACCCAAAGAAGGCAGAAGAATTCGTCAAGGCGGCCCAAGGAACCTCCAAAGGCGTCAAGTCCGGGACCCCCCCGTCCAGACCCCCCTGGTCCGGGACCCCCTGGTCGGACCCCCCCGGTCCGGGACCCCCTCAGGCCGGGACCCCCTGGTCCGGGACCCCCCGCAGTCCGGACCTTCCCAGTCCGGGACCCCCCGGTGCGGATCCCCCCGGTGCGTCAAGACGCCCCGAGATGATCCAAGAGGGGCCCCACGACGCTCCCCTGACGATCCCAGCAAGCCCCAAGAAGACTCACCAGACGATCCCAGATGACCCCAGGAGTCTCTACAACACGTTCCCACGGGCAGCTAGGTTCGCGCCTCGCGCTGCGCGAAGCGCGAATCACTTCGCGCTCTCGCGCCGCCGCTCACCCGCCCCACGCCCCCCCCCCCTCTGGAGTAGAAGAGTGGGAGTCGAGGATGAGGATGAGGAATCGCGAATCGCGAGCCGCGGATCACCTCGCGTCCTCGCAGCGGCCCTTGCTTCCCCTCCTCCTCCTCCTCCTCCTCCTCCTCCTCCTCCTCTCCCTGGACATCATGGACTTCTCTCCTGTGGGGAAGCGAGCTGTCGCATTTTACGGCCCCCCTGCATCTCAGGGATGGGAGGCGTCACGCATCACAACGATATGGGCACCGAAGAAAAACATGTCTCGCGACGCGATAGGGCCATCCGGAGCCTAGGGACGATACCACATGCTACATTGTTCCGGGCTCTTCTCGACATGTCACCACAAGGAGTCCTTCGCCGGCCTGGTGGCAGAACTTGCCGCAAGCAAATGTATAGGATCTGATCGATGCCAAGCCCTGGAATGCACCCGACGGCTTTCCGCTGCATAGCGTCCATGACGTTCCGATTGTGGCACACGGATCGCGGACCTACCGCATTCGTCAGGAACACGTTCATGTGACATGGTGGCCCTAACATCTTTCACAGCGGGAGGCTAGTCACCAAAGTGCCCCGACCAATCCACCATTAGACTTGCCATCGCTCGGACGTCCATTCCCTGTGTTTTTTTCGGTTTCGTGCGTGGTTTTTGTCGCCAAGTGATCAAGGATGCTCCTCGATGGTCCTCGCCGAAGAAAAAATGCACACGTCGGAGCGATGCCAAGTAGACTAGTGCCAAACAGAACATTACCAACTCTCGTGTAGAGGATGCGCTATGGCGCCGTGCCGAATCGCCCCCGGTCTGCAGCTGAGACCACATCCGCTGACTTCAATACCCGATGCTCTATGCGCAGTCTCCTGAGTACGGCCATAATGAGCGAACACTCCATCATGAATAACTCTTACTTGCATACTCTGTATAGCATGGGCGCCACCAACATGGTAACTCAGAACATTCGCTGG